GGCGTATACTGGAAACCTTTTCGGGTGTCTGGCAATTGGGCGGTGTTGTCTCCGAAATTGTCCAGGTTCCTATATTTCTGAACCAACGGGTGCCTCCAGATGTCCTTCATGGTAATTCGGCGGTCAGGGTTTACCTGGAGCATTCTTCGTATCAGATCCTCAGCCTCGGGGCTGAGACCCTTGGGCATCTCATAATGTCCCTTCTTTGTCTTGGCCATCATGACCCGCAAGTCAGGGTCATCAAATGGCAAAGTGGCCGACAGCATTGCGTAGAGAATGACACCCATGCTCCAGATATCAGCCCGATCCCCACGGTATTGCTTGTTTTTGAGAAGTTCTGGAGCAGCGTAATGGGGGCTTCCGCAGGCCGTAGCAAGCTGATGTGTAGCGGTTTGGTGAAGCGCAGCCATACCAAAATCTGCAATTTTGATTTGCAAGTCTGCAGTGATGAGAATGTTCTCAGGCTTCAGATCACGATGGCACACATTGAAAGAATGGCAGTAAGAAATGGCACTCATCATCTGTCGGAAGAAATAGATGGAAAGTTCCTCAGGGAGTCGTCCTCTGGAGTTGATAAAGGTAAATAGATCGCCCTGGTCGATATACTCGAGAATGAGATATCTGTTTTACGTCAGTAGATTGACAGAAATTGTGGAGAGGGTGTAAAGAAGAAAGAAAACTGACATTTCAGAGCGGTTCTCCCATATGTCGTACAGTTTCATGATATTTGGGTGTTCGATAAGTTTAAGAATTGCAACTTCACGCTCAATTGCCATGGGAACGCGCATCTCTCCATTGATCTGGTCAGGGAGACTGTTGTCCCATTTGCTTAGAGCGGCCATGGAGCTATCTTGGACCAAGTAGGCCATCGTTCTGTTCACAATTTTGACGGCGGCAAGTTGGTTGGTGATGTTGTGGCGGCAGAGGCGTACACGAGCTGACGAGCCTTTGCCCAGCGTTCGTCCCAGTTGCCAAGGCCCAATATGAGTCTTGTAGTTCTTCTTGCTTCGACTACTTGAGGTTGAAGCATACGAAGCTTGGGACATTCGCTTATCATTCTCTGCAGGTTGCGGATACGGATGCTGTATTACACCAGACATTTGGGTGTTGAGGGTGATGTTTGGTGCATCCATAGCTTGCTGGCTTTCTGGCCTCGAATGTGACGCCGGTTGGTTATGCTGGGGATAAACCACGTCGGGCTGGGCGTAACGCGGCGGCTTGTTTGTCTGGTGTTCCAACACAGGGATCGGAGAGTTCATTCGGTTCGTCGTCTCGGCCAAGGGCGAGCGAACCTTGGCAACCATCGCATCCGCCATGTTGGTGTTTGGTGATGTCGTAGGAATTAGCACATAATATTCGGGGTTAGCTATTTCAGTTCGTCGACGTCGTGTTTCTGGCCGTTGGCGGTGATATTTCTTTTTCCCCTCCTCCCAGTCGCGCTAGCTGTTAATGATAGCAGACAATACAGGTCCAAGTTTGAGTTAATAGAAGGCAACGTAGTGGGAAGTCGGACCCATCAATCCGACGAAGGCAAAGATCGAGTGTCGGTGGCGCACACGACAGCAAAGAAAGAGCGGGAAAGAGAAGAGAAGAGAAGGGGCAACTACAAAGGTCGAGGGTCGTCTGGTTGGGAGGAGCAGAAAGGGCAATTGAGCCGAGTAGATGAAGCAGAGCACTGGAAGACAGGACGGGGGACCAAGAATGCGACACTGTCTAGGTCATGAGCTGAAGTGAAAGTATGTACGGAGTGGCAGAAGCGTAGAGTGGAAGCGCAATCCTCTCCACCGACGTGGAATCTGGAATGTAATGTTTACTTTGGGTAAGTGGCGGCTGGTGTTTTGGACCAAATATGACATGGCGCAAGGGAGACGGGATGGTCAGTTGGCTGGCACTGGAACTTGGGAGGTCAGACTGGGACAAGTGACTGGCATCTGCAGAAATAACGAAGCAGTGCTGCCAGCTGTCGGCACTGCGACCACCTGGCGGGTGGAGAAATGTTTAAGAAGCGTGAGAGAATAAAAGTCGAGATCATGACGGGGATTGACGATGGTTGCCAGGAAGGCATACTTGGTGCACCATTCTTGGCCGCATTCCAGTTGCCAGCGCCGACAAATGGAATCTCGCCAGCAAAACTCTAGCCTTGCTGACTTGCCCGGCCACTTGACTTTGCCAGCCTGCTTGCTTGCTGCCGCTGCCGTTACTTTACCACTCCGGCGGCGGCGGTGAATTGTGCAATTGGGCCAGAACAAGAAAAATTGAAATGATGAAGCCTACCAACCCAGGTAGGTAGTTTACCCATTATCCATCGGGCTCAGAAAGTTCAATCCACAACCCCTCCGTCCAATAACTTTGCATCGTACTCCGTAGCTTGCATGGTACCTGCATTACGATGGGGTCCGAAGATCCTAAAGTCCCATCTGCACCGGGCTAAGGACTGCAATAGTACTACTATTGCAGCTCGCAATTTCCTTATCCCTAGTGACATGTACAGATTCCAACGGCCACTTTTTTTGCACCCAAAATAGGGCTTGGTAGCCGACGCATATCAAGTCGCCAGGGCTCGGCGGGTGGTTTGTCGAATTTGGTAATATATTTGTTTGTTTGCCCTCACTGGCATCAACCGTCAACAGCCTAGGACCAAAGATAATGTTGCCAACTACCCTTTCGACAACGAGAACGCTATCCCCCAAAGAAGAGCGGCGGGTGTGGATAGCAGTTACATTGTCCAAGGCAATTTTGAGACTGGAACTCAAGGGATGACATAATGAGATGATGCTGCCCCCGATAATAAACACCTTCTCCGGACAAGCCCACGTATGACTAAGCAGCGGCTCCTGGTGATATGATATGATGGCTTCCATCGTGCCGCTCTCTCACACACTCTGCCGAGTTGCCTCAATCAACCTCTAGCGTTGGGTCATCATTTAACGGTCCCTGAGTCCTTGATCCAGAATACGGACATCCCACGACCAAGAATGTGGAGCCATGTGCCTTGTTCACTATCCAAAAACCGAACACGAGACCCGCAAATAGAAGCCCTCGTTGAATTGGCAATCAGATGTCACACGTCGAGCTGGTGGTCTCCCCAAAGAGTGGCGACACGGCCAAATGAACGAAGGTCGATGGTCCTTTTACCTATTTCCATGATGCTTCTATTCTGCCGCTGCTATGTCTTTAGCTCCATTGCTGCCGGTCCACGAGGACGGGTAGCATCATGCTGAGACAACAATGTCAATACGCTCAACTATCGGTTGTCAAAGCATGACTGAGCCGGTGTTAGACCACCGCTTCACTGCCTGTTCGTGCTCATCGTTGGAACGAAGCCAACAGCTTGCCTTGATGCTTGATTCCCTGATACGTTTAAAACCTGTAGGCCCAGCCTGATACGCTTCTAGCTCAAGCTGACGTCTCGCACAAGTTAGATTCTAAAGGCCCAATGTCTTTTCCCTTCGTTGCTCCATGTCTGGACATCTGTGTTACTGCATGATTTGGTACTCCACCGTCCCAGGGCTTCGGGTCATTCGCACTCCCCGTACCAGATTTCGTGCTGCCTACGGAGTACATTCTCCAGATTTTCAACAGATGATAATTCGGGGTGGCGGCGCGCTATATGCTTGAAGATGGAGCTGTTCTATTCGCATCTTCCTACTCGTTCCCAAGATCTTGCCCCTTTTAGTAGCGTTGGTAAAGGTATCGACGAGGCCCACCACAACAATTTTGACGAGTCCGAGTCCCGCCGTGATAGTAGCTTCAAGCTTACATATGTCTGGCGTTGTCTCTATCCTATAACCATAGTCATCCAGGTCGCCCCCTTGTTCTACCCCAAACTCGTCATATTGGCGCTCCATGGCGCTAGGTAGACCTTTGTAATTTTAGTATCCGGCATTTGTCGAGGCTCACCATGGTCACCACAATGTTGTGCTTATCGTGAGTTTCCAACGAGATACGAAGAGCCAGTTGCCTATCTGCGACTGTTCTCATGCAATAGATGCCCGTTCACTTACGGAGGTAACAAAGCAGTCGGAAAAAGAAAGAGAATGGCGGTACGACGCCAAAAGAGGTATATAAAGAGGAACTATGATTTTTTATTTAACGTGGCCGTTGACCTTGAGGCCGCAACAGAGTCTATGAAGCCGACAGTTCTGCGGATGAAGTCAACTAAGCTTGATCGAGGTTGGCCCAACTTGGAGAGCTAGACAAAGTACCCTTGTAACTACTAATTAGGCTGAGAGCTTGCAACAACAGCCAAGCGTAATTGGTTTAGTGGTAAAATTCTCCGTTGCCATCCGAGCAACGTAGGGGAGCCCTGGGCTCGATTCCAAGATTAAGCATCTAATCTCTTTTTGGAACATTATCCCAATTTCAATGCACAAATGCACAAAGTGGTTTCATATTTTTTTTTCCTTCTCGGTATTAAACCGTGGCACAGCAGAGTAGAGAGTTTTGGTTCATCATCATCGCTGGTGTACCTAAGTGTAGACCTCATGTAATCAAGCGAGACTATTCTCGTGATAACTCCGGGCAGGCTGTTTGTTCACCAGGGAGATGCCATGGAGTGGGTTGGAGATGGCAAATTTAGCTAGCTACCGAAACAGAGCCATTGCTACATTTTGGCGGCCTAACGGCGAAGGCCAACATTGAGACGAGCGTTTCTGGAATGCCGGCCTCTGGCTGTTGGTTCCTTCACTGATCATGCGGTTATGGTGCCTCCAGCGCCTGACCATCTTAAGGGCCGCTGCTGCCTGTTTGAATGCCGGGCGTAGCAAGAAACATTCTGAAGATTCCCAATATCCCTCTCTCTTCACCATCACCGAAATTACAGGTTTTCGAGCAACAGTCGATACTTTAGCCAGAAAGTCATTCTTCGCTTTCCCTATGCTTGCATGATATATTCCAAGTTCAACTTCAATACGCGTCTCAACGACGAACTGCTCAATAAGTTTAAGTCTCACTACTACCTCGCGACCCTAAGACACTAGCCCAGAGAAACTACCGTCAACATGAACTTGTCCCCTCAGAAACTGTCACAGCCCAAGAAGCGAATCAGCGAAATAATGGCAACCGTGGCACAAGAGCAAAAGGAATTTGAGGATATCCTGGAATACATCAACAGCATTGAGCAAGCGAATCTGAGTCAGATGGTAGGAAGTGCGTCAAGTGCAAGAAGCAGAAGGAAAAAAAGCAAGACCATGCCTAAGCCTGCCGACGAAGAATTGGAGAAGTACCAGCGTAGGCGAGCGGGAAAGGAGGAGAGCATTGGACTCATGTGGCAGAAGATACACGAGTTGCAGCAGGAGGAAAAGAGGCTTAAAGAAATGAATGGTATGTGAGCTTGAAAGCGCTTATGTATTCAGCAGATAGGCACGCAAGCCCTATGACCAACCCCATTTTTCTTTCAAGGCTGTTGACTTGGCAAGGAGCCTGTCCTCCTCAGTTTCATAAAGCCCATGTTCCTTCAAATACTGCGTGTAGCGCTCACACTTTTCCGCCGACGTTGCACCTCGGATGCTAGAGCTTCATTGCCATCAAAAAACTCTGCCACCATGTCATCTAGAGGTTTATCGGAGTCCTTTCGAGCAGAAAAATCGCAAAATATGTCGGTGACGTCGGTAGGGCGGCGTAGTACGTGGGCAACGCAAAACGCCATGCCTGATTTGTTGATATCTGACTTGCCATCCAACTGGGTATACCATTCCTTTCTCAGCTGGTCGCAAAGGCGACTAATTTTGCCCTCCTCATTCAAAACGTCTCGGAACTCAGCATGCATCTGCTTGTCCGTTTCAATCGAGTCATGGCCAGTTATCCACGATGGCGGGGTGAAGATTTGCAACGGAACAGTACTGGCAAATTCCTAATCAATTACGCCCTGAATCTGCAATTTCTGATCCACGATGATGTTGTTGCTCCGCAAATCTAGACGATTCAGCACAAAGGGCCCTGTGTTTAGCCTAGGATCAATTACTTTGTTGAAAATGCGATCCATGCCATCTAGTGCAAAAACTTCTGTTTGGATATCCTCGGCTGCATGGTGGGGAACTGGCAGCGTATAAAAGCCCGATATGAGGCTAAATTGGTATCTCATGTATTCCTTGGCAGATGCGAAGGTTGACTGATTCGGGAGCCGGAGTGTGGTAGCAGACATGGAGATAATAGGACCCAGAGCAGGATGTAGGTTGCTATTAGAATCCGGCATCAGGGAGCCTAGTAAGGGAAACTCGAGTTGTCTAAGCTCAGCCAAGATATCGATAAGCTGAGAGAAAAAGTATTGTCGGTGTTCCTTGTCGGCTTCAATTAGGCATTTCTTATTCAGTGGCTCGCCTGGTATGAGGTCTGTATGAGATACATCTGCATTCCGGAGCTACCTCCGGCCAACTTGGCACGACCGTATCCACGAACATGGGGAACGGGAATCCGCGTGTTGCGCTCGAGATATCTGTCTTTATGAGTGGACGTGCAAAACAGGAATGAGATGTAGCTTACTGTATAGTGGTCACCTCGCTCAACTGCTTCTCCCAGGGATTGTCAAAAGCAGGCTCGATGGGATTCTGACTATCCACTTGGATCCGTCCTGCTCAAACTCAACAAAGAAGCAAGCTGCCATCGTCCCTTTTTACAACTCGGCACGTATTGCCTTTATCATATCCTGATACTAGAGAACAGACCGCATCTGAGTCTAGCGATTCGATAAACAATCTTTTAGCTTGGTTCAGCTGATGCTCAGTAGCGGCAGGGAATCCGTCATTATCGGGGTCGAGACTCGGTCTCTGATGCCTTGATCTCTGGCGCAGGGCGATAAATCCAACCAAATAACTTGAACAGGGGAGAATCTACTGGCGCCCAGAATATGCGCACTGGACGGATAAGAGCGCACAGCATAGTTGGTCCGACATGGAAGCTGGCAATGTTGCTTTAGGCATTTGCTGTTGGATTTTCGGACACAAAATCACGTGCTGTGCCCCTGTCTGGCTTGCAGTGACCCTGGAGTGTTCTAGCGGAGTAACGTACTCCGTAGTACCGTTGACCTTACAGGTTGGGATTTCCACTTCACCCAGCCAGCGGCGTTAAATGACTCCAAAGGGGCCAAATACCCGCCACTGCAGGTATCTACCTACCTATGTACTTAGTAGTTAGGTATGATAAGCGCGACTAGTCAAAGGTTCAAATGTTGCTTGATTGGACTAATGAAAACACCAAAGTTCAGCTGTTTACCCGAGTACTTAAGCTACCGGGTAGGTGCCTGATGATGCACCCACTCGGTGGCATTAATGAATCAACCAAAAAAAGCCTAGGCCAGTAGGTGCCTAGGTATTTGTAGCCCTTCGCTGCCTAAACTAATTCTGCTCTGCCCGATACTACGAAGTCCACGATGCCTCCCAAGCCCTGGGGACAAGAAACCATGTTCCCAAACCACTTTCATATCTCCCGGCTTACAAGTTACAGAGCTATCCTTCGCGACTAGCATACTTACAGGACGAGGCCAAGCCGACAATGGAACAGGAAAATGTGGCGGTGAATTCTCCAAAACCTGAGTCAACCAACCCTGTGGTCAAATACAATCGGCAGACACGAGCAGCTCTGTGGAATCACCGAACGCTGAAGACGCTCTCTCTCTCGAGCTAAGGAATATCCTGACGCCGATCTACTGTCCACCATACCAAAAGCCTATGCTGAAACCCTGAAGATGCTTCGAGAAAGCAGTAAGTACTATTATATTCAGCGACTCACCTACTTCTGTATAGAACCTGATCGGCAGAAGAAAACATGTCCGCCAGTTTTCCGTGAAAGAGACACTCGATCACTCCTCCAAGAATCCGACATTGCCATCGTTGTGAAGCCTCTCTCGGATGAAGGATGAAGTTAAGAAGCTTCTGCCTGAATCTGACAACCTCTCAAGCGCCATAATAGAGCTTTTGGATGACAGTGAGGTACTCTTCCGATATTCTCATAGGTTTTCTACAACGGTCTACGAGCTAGCCAAGATATCGTTGTAAAGATTACCCGAGAAGTAGACAATACCACCGAATATACCTCGATGCAGTACCTCCAGGACAGAATGCCTGGAGTACCTGCTCCCAGACCTCATGGGTTGGTTAATCTAAGCGAGTTCTACTTAACCTTTATGCGTTTCGTGCCCGGTCTTAGTCTCGAGAAGGCATGGCTGAATTGGAGGACGATCAAAAGCGAGATGTAAGCTGCCAGCTTGACGTTACACTCTCGGAATTAAGGTCTTTTCCCAGAACCAGCCGCTCGGTGGGCTCAAGGGAGAGGGTTGCAAGGATATGAAGCAGAACACCCGTCGCAGTGCTGAGCCGATCTGACTCCAAAGGACTTTGAGGAATTCATGTTCGCCAAGCCTCATTTTGGAAGTCCCGTCTTTACCGATTTCCTGCCGGATCAGACAGTGCCAAATTGTGCTTTCACCCATGGCGACTTTCGACCGGCTAATATTATGGTGGAGAAAAAAGAAGACGGTGCCTGGAGAGTCGTTGGAGTCATCGACTGGGAGTCTAGTGGCTTCTACCCTGAATATTGGAAATCTGTCAAGATGACAAATAACCTTTCGCCCATGTCAGAGTGTAACTGGTATCTGTACCTTCAAAAATGCGTATCGCCGCTTCAATATCCGACTAGATGGCTCATTGATCGAGTCTGGGATAGGCACATAGCTTAGATGTAGGCGTTTGCCACAATTAAGCTATGCATATTCCTGAAATTTCGTCTCTTACTAATCTTGTATGCATACGCTGTATCTGTAGACATTCTTCTGTAATTCCTCATACCAAATACCTTGCCTTTGTTGACTCTGCGTCTCAATCCTGAGAAATTTCACAACCATTTCAAGTAGCTTCTAGAGTTAAATTAATACGAATGGGGCTCTAGATATCACAGTCCCAGTGATGCAAGATCCTGGGTTCGCCCCCGTCGTGTCTTAGTCTAGACGCTTGAATATGTGCTTTCCCCGGCATGAGTTACACCATATGTCAATGAATCATTCAAGGAACGTACTATTTGGCTACCAAAGACTAGAAGATTACAAGACGAACAAATTCTTTGTTGAATAGAACATCAACACTCCAAAGCACAGAAACAAGTTAATAACAAGCCCAACAAACATTACAGGCAGAGTCCACAAGCAAAAAGAGAGCAACTTTCAGGTCTGCCACTCAAACAGCTTCTCACTCTTCATCATCATCAGAGTTAGTTACATATTCCTTCGACAGTATTCGTTGGCCGTCTGCCGCCGGCCGCCAGGCTTCAAAAGGCTGCTGTCTTGGGCTATAGTAAGGGGATACTTGCTTCCAGGCCGCGTCGTATTCGGCTTGAGTTACCAAGTTGTTCTTTATCAGGGCAGCGAATATGTCAGTTACGTAGCTCTGGCAATTCCAGTCTTTAGAATTCTGGACCACCACCTCTTGGATTGTTCCAAATATGCCGTGTATAGAGATGCTAGGATATGTAGCTATAAGCGTCAAGGGATTGAAGCACCTAGTCGAGCCTCGAGGGTCTGCCGTGTAACAGTGTAACTGGAAGGGCCTGCAAATCTCCTAGTCGCCTCGTAGGTATACCATTTGCTGGTAGCCTGGTTGTGCACGGTCATAGCCCAGTGATGGTAGCATCCCTCGTTACCGTTGTAGACAACAATGTAAGCGTGGACAGACTGGGAGGAGTCACCTTCAGGCAGTCTGCTGGACTTTTCACCAGACAGTTTGCCTGAGCGCTGACTAGACCGTGTTGACATATCTGACTGAGATGTCTCCTTGATACTAAGATTTGGTAGTCCTCTTATGACTGTATAAAAAGTGAGTTGTACTTACCGATATCCTGCTTGGGGCTTTTCAACCGAGAAAAACGGACATTTGAATCGAGCAAAATTCTTGATAACAGGAAGCTGGAATGCTTGTATGTGATTGCAACTTAGGAACAGTGTATATCGAGAGTCTGAGATCAATTCTAACCACCGTATTGGTCGCATCTTATATATTTTCTCATCATACCGCACTGTAACCTGGTGAAAGGTTCTGAACGAGGGGCAGGGCCGAGATGTTCGGGGCAAGTGAGCATGTCCAGAGGTAGATCTCTCGAAGGTCTGGGGCCGGATTCTCCTTGGCCGCGAAATTGGGCTTCTCAATAAATATAAAACTGTGGTACAATTACTTTTTTGAGCCATAACCTCTGCCTACAGGCATATATTTGACTATTACAATTGGGAAGGGGAAAGGAGAAAAAAAAATGGAAAAGGGGTTGGGAGTTGTTCACCACGGATCGTTTATACTCTATAAGCTGTGCATTTTAAAAGGAAATGTCTTTGTTATTTGGCTTCCGAAGGTAC